ATATATAGGTGTGTGTGTGTGTGTGTGTGTGTATTTTAAACACTTCCCACACTCTAAAAGAGCACAGGATGTTATGATTTCAGCTCTGCCTCCATGCACTCTTGACCACACCCACTTCTCAGCTCTCCACGGAGATCAGCTGATCAGCTGCAGGAGGAAGCTGCTCCCACAGCTGTGGGCTGCACACAGGTGCTAAATAATTTTAAATAATTTCTTTTAAATAAACAATCCATGCCGATCGTGCGGCTCATCCATCAATCAGCCAATTGTCTGTCATGTCCAGTCTTACTTTGAAAAACCGCGATAGAGCAAGTCTACGAAAAACGTACCACCAAGTATGGAGGGACTACTGTAACTAGATATTTTTCTTTATGATAAACAAAGACCTAAGAATCAAGACCTGCCTTAGACCAAGTTATGATCTCTGATTGGATGAGAAGTTTACAGACACACCCCTTCTCTTGTGGACCAATGGTGGCTGTGTTTTCACTCACACAGAGTTTTTAGTTTTTTGTTTTTTGTAAGAGTCTCATCAGAGAAGAATGATGAAAAGAAGATGGAGCGTAAAGAAATTCTCACTTTTAAAGTTAGAATTTTATTTTAACTTTCAAATTTGTTCAAGTGCCAAAATATAAAAACTTGCTTTCCATTGACGCGTGTATGTGTGCGTGTGTGTGTGTGTAGGACTCTACGTAGTGTGTGAGGCAGGACAGAGGGTGTTGGTAGTTGGTGGAGGTCTGAGCAGCGCTCACATCGTCTCACTCACTCTGCAACAGGGGGCCAGCCACGTGACGTGGGTCATGAGAAAACACCTGCAGGTCTTTTGTTTGTGTGGATCAACCACTAAACCAAACCACTGTAGAAACTGCTCTCTCCTAAACAAAACCATCTTCTCCTTTGTAAATCTCATTCTGCAGCTGAAACAGTTTGACGTTGGTGACGTAGAAAGCCTGGTGGGTCGTTACTCTCACGTAGAGCACGGCATCAAGATGGACGGCCAGGCCTACCTCCGGCAGTTCTACAACGAACGCAGTTTACACAAACGTCTTAATATGATCCGCCAGGCGAGGAAAGGAGGAGCCGTCACCCCTGAGGCCTACATCCACCTGCAGCCGTTCATCCAGAACCAACAGGTGGAACTGAAGACGTTCTGTCAGGTACTGTGACCTGCAGCTGACTAGTTCAAGGTTAGAGGGTAACCGAGAGGTAGAGGTATGTGTGGTATGTTAGAGGTATGTGTGGTATGTTAGAAGTATGTGTGTTATGTTAGAGGTATGTGTGGTATGTTAGAAGTATGTGAGCAGTAAAATACAGAAGTCAAGTCCTGGTTCCAGCTGCAGCTTCCACAGGACCGTAGAGGTTCAGGATCAGCCAGGAGCTGCTGATTAAGTGATCAGCATCAGTGAGACCACTTCTAGAAAAGCAGATGTTTTTGCTGATCTGGAGCATACAGGTGTGTGTTACCACAACACCGAGAAGGAAAGACATCAGCAATAAATTAAGTAAAGCATCCATCATTCTGGGAAGGGTCAAATATAATGTAGAGTCCATTGTTCTACAGAGAAAAAGATTATTCACAAGTGGAAAACATTTAAGACAGCTGATAGTCTTACCAACAGATTCACCCTGAAGGTCAGACCATGCAGTGACTCTACAGGCCTCAGTCAGCAGGTCAAAGGTCATGGTCTCTTCTCTCTAAAAACAACATGGCAGCTCGACTTAGGTTTGTAAAGTTTCATCTGAAGGAACTACAAGACTTCTGGACCAGACCCAGACCAGAGGACAGATGATTACCCAGAATGCACTGCAGCAAACAGCTCCTCCCAGCTGTCAGCACGGTGGTGGAGGGCTGATGGTTTGGGCTCCTGTCAGTCTCTGAGTGGACCAGAACTTCTCTGGAGACCAAAGGGTTATGGAGTCAAATGAGTCCATCTGTCCCAACAGCTGAAGCTTGGACCAAAGTGGGTCCAACAGAAACATGATCCTAAAACAAATGAGTTTTTATACACATGGGGTTAGATTAGAGTAAATTAAGGAGCTCCTTGTTGTCCTACTTCTTTTCTGATATGCATGAGGAAACATTAACCTGACTCCTGTACCTGTGCAGGTGAGTGAAGCCAGCTGGTGCTACAGGAACCAAACCTGGAACGTGTCCCTCAGTTCTGGGGACCACTGGACAGGAGACATGATCTGGCTCGCCACTGGCTGCAAACTAGACGTCAAACAAGACCCGCTGCTTTCAGACACAATGAAAGAGTTCCCAGTTCAGGTAGAAGAAGAATTCATTGTACAGTAAATTAATCCATGATTCAGTTTTTATCATTTAGATCAAATCAGGAAAATCTTACATTTTCATGGAGGAATTTGCATTTTTGCTGGAAATGCAGTGAACGCTGAGCGCTCTAACTAAAGTAACAAAAGCATAGCTAAAAAAAAAAAGCAAAATACTAGCTAAAAGTAGCAAAAGCCTAACTAAAGCCAAAAGGAGCATAAAGATAGCTTAAATCCAAACATTACAAAAAGCTAGCTAAAGTCAAAAGAGGCAAAAGTCAAGCTGAAAGCTAAATGTAGCAAAAGGCTATAGCTATATCTGTAAATAGCAAACCATAGCTAAAAGCAGAAAAGAGTTAGCAAAAGCTACATATGGCAAAAGGTAGCTTAATTTACTAAAATAGCTAAAAACTAAATGTTGACAAAAACTAGCTATAAATAACAAAAGCTAGCTGGACCTAAAGTCGATCTAAAAGACAAATGTAGCAAAAGGCAAGCTGGAAGCTAAATGCAGCAAACCTAGCTAAAAGCAGCAAAAGAGTAACTGAAGTTACAAGAAGCAAAAGATTAGCAAAAAAAAACAAAAAAAAAACCTAAATGTAACAGAATGTTAGCTAAAAATGAAATGTAGCAAAAGCTTATAGCAGCAAAAAATATTGTCTTTTATATATAAAAAAACAAAAGACTAGATAAAAGCTAAATGATGCAAAATACCAGCTAGAAGCTAAAAGTAACAAATGGTATCCAAAAGGCATAAAAATCATGAAAATTAGAAGCAGCATAAAAGACAAAAAATGAGGCAGTTGGTTGAAACACACAATAAAAAGGAGAAATGTTCAGGATTTATTTCTATGGGAAATTTTGTAAATAAAGTTAAATACTGTATTTTGACATATGAATGGCTAAAACAGCACACAGTAGGCAGAAGTAGATAGAATGCAAAAAATAAAATTACAAGTTTAGTAAAATAAAAAACAGGAAATTAATTCTGACTCGGTGTTCACAAAATAAAAGCCTGTGGTTTGTCGTCAGGTGGTGGACGGATGGCCCTGCATATCAGAGAGTCTGCAGTGGACAGACGGATGTCCTCTCTACCTGATGGGGCAGTACGCAGCTCTGCAGGTGAGTTCTGCAGGAACAATAAGCCCAAAGAATCTCAGAGTTCAAGAACCTTGTTGTCCCACTCAGGTCGGACCTCACGCTGTCAACCTGGCAGGTGGACAGGCTGCCAGCAGGCGGATTGCTGAGGACATAGTCCATGGTCAGAAGCAGGACAGAGGACAGATCTCTGACCCAGCAGGAGGCAAATCCAGAACTGAAGACTACATCCAGCAGATGCATGGACTCTTCTGGCTTTAACAATAAAGTCAACAGCACTTTTTGGATCAGAGTTTTTAAATAAAGGATGTTAGTTTTCTGATTGAATGTTGTTTTTAAATCACACGGCGGGCGATATGCATTATTTATTATTCAATGTTCATTGGTGGCTCTTCTATAAATGAACAAAGGATTACAGACTGTAAGTTTTTTTTCAACAAACAGCTAAAGCTGCTCACCAACTCCTATCATCTTTTCATAATCAAAGCTGACAGGTTTCTAGGAGCATTTATGTTTCCATATTAGTTCTGTTTTCTGTAATCTTTTTGTTTTTTACGTATTTTGCATGTGACAATCAACAGCGTCATTTAGTGACTTCATTAAACGATTGTGTGAATGCATTGTTCACTCCGTTTTCTTTTATATATGTATATATATATACAGTACAGTATAATATACATTTTTTGCTGTCTAAGCTCTCCTGCATGTAGAATTATTGTCGTTCAGAAATCAAAATGTTCAGCTCATTCAGCAGATTCAATTAAATTAATTTATGTTTATTTATATAGCACCAAATCACAAAAGAAGTTATCTCGGCACTGTACAATAATGGCACATTAAAAAAAGCCAATTAGTAAAAGTTATCTTAAGGAAGCCAGGATATTGCATTGACTCCACTTTGTTACAGTCTTTCATCCCGAGCAAGCACAAGGGCAACAGTGGAAAGGAAAAACTCCCTTTTAACAGGAAGACACCTCCAGCAGAACCAAGAGACCATCTGCTTCAACCAGCTGGGTTTGAGAGGACAGGAAAGAGAAACAAACAAATGGAATGACAGGTCCAGGTGTACTTCTTAATGAAAGAAAGACATTTAAAAAAAAACATGTTAAGATAGAAATAATTACAAATACAAACAGGTAGAGCAAGTAAAGACAGCAGCAGAGTGAAGAAATGTGGTCAATTTGTCCTCCAGCAGTCTAAGTCTATAGCAGCATAACTAAGGGATAGCTCAGGAAACCCAAGAACCCTGACTATAGGATTTATCAAAAAGGAAAGACAAGCCTAGTCTTAGGCCCTGTACACACGTAGCCGGATATCAGGAAAACCGAATAGTTTATCATGCGGTGTGGCCTTTCATCCACACGTGAACTCCGGTTGATGTAACTATAAACGAATAATAACAAAAACTCTGACCAAAGTGGAGATTTGAGAAATCTCCTCTTTCGGGTTTGCGTGTGGACTTTCGGAACCGGAGATATGCGCATTATGTCTGCGACAGATGGTGCAGCGCGGCGCTGACGTCACATGTGCGACAATTGTTTTTGTTTGCCCATTCATTCGGAGGGAAAATGACTGCGTTTAGGGAAGTACTAATTGTAACGCTGGGTCAGGCAATTTTTGCTTGCTTGTTTTTACAAGCACAACTGCTCCAACAGATGGAATTACAAAGGAGAAAAAGCGCTTGGCGTTCAGCTCTTTTACAGCAACTATCCCTACCGATACGGAGGCACAATACCGCCATTCAGCGTCGCCGTCGCCGGTTTTGGATCAGACCTGGACGCACTGCTGGCTGGTGGGAAAACTTTGAGAAGGAAATTGTTCTCCCACAGGAATGGCGTGAGAACTTCAGAATGTCACGGTCGTCATTACTGTCGCTCTCGGAGTTACTCCTTCCTTACATTCAAGGGAAGAGTACTGTAATGCGATCTCCAGTCTGTGTGGTCAAAAAAGTTGCATGCACGCTATATTATTTGGCTGACGAGGGAAGACTGCGTAAAACGGCCAATGCATTTGGCTTATCAAGACAGGTAGTCTCAAACATAATTAGAGAGGTGTGTAAGGCTATAACTGTGTACTTGGGACCATCTTACATAAAAATGCCAACAACAGAGACTGCTGTGCGTGCACTTGTTGAGGGATTTGAGCAGGCTTATGGTCTCCCTCAGTGCCTTGGAGCTGTGGATGGGACTCATGTGGAGATAAAGCAGCCATCAGCTAATTCTACAGAGTACCTAAATAGGAAGGGGAGGTTTTCTCTTAACATACAAGCCACCTGTGATAACAAGTACAGCTTTATTGATGTAGTTGTGAAATGGCCAGGGAGTGTGCATGATGCCAGAGTTTTTGCTAACTCCACAATAAACACAAATCTGAAAAACATGAAGATTCCCCCCTGTCCAAGACAAATTGTGGAGAACGAAGACGCTATACCCATTTACATACTGGGTGACCCTGCATACCCACTTCTACCTTACCTGATGAAAGAATATGCTAACGAAGGAAGCAATGTTCAGGAGCAGTACTTTGGACTTTCGTTGTGCCGAGCTAGAATGGTGATTGAATGTGCGTTTGGAAGACTAAAAGCCCGATTTGGAGCCCTGAGGAGAGCCATGGACATCAATATGAATGATCTTCCATTTGTTATATATGCATGTTTTGTGTTGCACAATTTTTGTGAGGCATCAAAAGACACTGTGGATGAAAACAGAATAACTGAAGCTATTCAACATGACAGGAACAATCAACCGGACACACAGCCAGTGGTCAGAGGAGACAGCTTGGCAGCAGAAGGAAAGCGGGTCAGGAGAGTCCTCACTCAGTGTCTGGATCCATAAACACAAAAACCTGTGAACTATTTAGCAGACTGCGTTGTTTTTTCATAAAAAAATGTTATAGTTAGCACCATGTATGTTAGAGAATTTTTAAATTGTTTTGTGCAATGTTATTGCATTTCATTCTATTAATGCATGAAAAGCTACCACCCAGGATTTAGATACATTATATAATAGTTTGTAGCTCATTAGACAGACTTTTAAGTGAAATGATTTTACTTGTCTCTCTTAAAATTGGACCTGTAGTGTATTAAATAGTGCTGCCAATACTTTCTGATGAACATGACTGTATTTGTAACTGTCATATTCACAAAAATTCACATAAAGAAACTTGCTTTTAAAATGTTTGTCAATTTATTCAAACGAACACACTTAACATGTTCTTATTTTGTGTTTCATTTATGAACAGATCAGATTATAACAGATCTACAACAGATAAAGCTTTTTAAACATGGGAGAAAAGCAGCACAGTTACTGTACACTTTTAAATCAGTGATGCCCAAGTCCATAACTTGGGAGCTACCACAGGTACATTTCAGCTGCATTTGCTTCAACAAACCAGTATGAAATAGCTGATTTCAATCATCAGTATGTATTTGATAGTGGTGTTTTGGAGAAATAAATACATCTAAGTAGCAGTAGCTCCCAAGGACTGGACTAGATCACCACTCTTATAAAGATTCACGTAACAAAAATGTAAATAGTTAAAGTATTGTGCAATTGCTACATTTTAAGCTTTTCTAATTGGTCAGTGGCTTCAGCAGGTGTGTGGAACACAGCTTCAGTGTTCATAGTGTTTCCTGGTCTTGTGTTTTGACGTGTTCTGTCAGAAGTGGAGTTGTTTGGGTATGGGTAATTTGCTGAGTTTTGGTGGACAGAATGGTGGGCCATTGTGTGTGAATACATCGGACCTCTTGGCTCATATGGCATGTAGTGTGGTGGTTGTGCAGGTGCATGAATGACCTGTTTCAGAAGAGAAAACCCATCAACAATCGATGTGGTAAGTCTTTCCAGTGTATTGGACATTTTTGAATAGTTTTCGGATGCTTTTTGTTCTGATGTCTCAATGATTTCCACCAGTCTCTTTTTCACACGCTGGTCTTCCTCAAGAGCATTCAGCCACTGGGTCTCAGCAGGCAGCTTTCTCCTCAGACGGTCGTGTCTGTGTCCTTTTAGTTTTGCCTTCAAAAGAGAAATGAAAATCATCACAATTAAACATAAAAAAGTAAACCTGGATCATGTTGATGTTGTACTTTTCACATCACTTCTACATAACAATATGTAATAACAGCATATCCAATGTTTGCTATATGTCTTAAAGTGTATTTTGTACCCACCACCCCATCAAACTAATGAATATGTAGGCCTAACATAATATGAGATGAGTAAGAGCATGATGGTGTCATTTCTTTTTTGCAATAATAATAAAAATAAATCAGCAACCCGTACACAGTAAAATATAAAAAACATCACATTCCAGCCTCCACTACACACCTCAACTCTTGCATCATTTTTAACACACATATTGCCTTAACTGTATTTTTAATAGCAACACAATTCAACAAACCTGTTCCGTGAATTATAGTACATCCAACAGATGAACATTTACAGCAAAAGTACTTTTATTTATGAGGAATGGACAGAAAAATATACGTACATCAAGCAGGTCTCTCCTCTCCTTTGAAGTAGGACCCACACTGCTTTCATTATCAGACCCTGTGTCTGCTACATCCATGGTAGTGGAGGAAGAAGATGTGGATGGTGAGGGTAGGGTCCGAGAATGATCCAGGTCAGCTGTTTCAATACCGGAGGATATGGTAGTACTAGCTGGAGAGCCACCCCAGATTTGTTCGCACAGTTCGAAGTACAGAAGAACCACTCGACCGTGTCCACTCCTGCGTCCTGTATCAACAGCATGGCGATATTTACCTCGGACTGCTTTCATTTTTGTTGTTAAATTCCCGCGCGTGATGTCGGCATGTGAATGGGGAAACTCGTCGGAGGACTCCGTTGGGTAATGCTCTAAAAAAAGCGCTAAAATATCAACATGCTTGTTCTGACAGGATTCCCAGTCGACATTTTCCTGAGTTTTATTAACTTTGTACTCCAACACGGTATTTAATAGTAGTTCAACCTCGCGCTCTGTCCACACAAACGAACCTCCAAGCGCCATGATTCAATACTAACAGGAAGTTGTGGTTGCTTTGAAGGGTTGTGATTGGCTGATATACGTTTCACCTTTGCACTACACTGCCTCCTATGGGTTGGGCATATTCTTTACAACGCTTTGTGGTGAACATCACCGGGTTCATGTAGACGATCATTTTCTCTATCCGAACATGTATGTACGGCGATATTTTTTTGCGCAGATATTCGTTTTTTCAAACACCAGGCTACGTGTGTACAGGGCCTTAAAAGTACTATAGTTAAGGTGTCCAAACAAGATTAAAGGCAAAAACAACTGGACTTCTGTTCTGTAGCTGAAGATGTTTTGCTTCTCACTCGAGGAACTTTCTCAATTCAAAGAACAGGGAGTATGGGGTTCAAGTGTTCTGTAAGCTTGCATGTTGCATAATGACACATGCAGATCGACCTCTAATTCCTTACAATATAGAGGATCGTTAGGGTCTTTATAGTCTGACTCAGTTCACCACTTGCTCTTGCCAAGATCGGATGCTTCCCCCCTCCCTCTCTGCTTTGCTTTGCTGCTCTGTCTGTGAAACTGCTTGTGAGACTCTTGCATTTCTTCCGAACCATAATTATGGACTGTTTTGACCAGTTGGTCCCTCAACTCAATTTACAACATTTCTTCGAAGAGAAGACAGGCTTTAGGCGAGCCGATTTGCCCTGTTGGCACGCACGCAGCTGGATATCGACTTGGAAGACTTGTTGATGTGTCTAACTCTGCTGCCATTTGTGGATTTTAAGGACGCATATTTAATTGGATTTTCGATAACTGGTTCCTGCTTTTTGGATTCGACTGGTTGCTGGTTTTATCAATCGATCAAGGAAGTCCATCCATCCAACCATTATCTTTTACCCGCTTCTTCCATTTTGGGTCACGGGGGTCGCCGGTGCCCATGTCCAGCAATCACTGTGCAAGGAGCAGGGTACACCCTGGATGGGTCGCAACTCCATCACAGGGCCACATAGAGACAAACAACCATTCACTCTCTCACTCACACCTAGGGACAATTTAGAGTTACCAATCAGCCTAACATGCATGTTTTTGGTCTGTGGGAGGAAACCGGAGCACCAAGAGAAAACCCACGCATGCACGGAGAGAACATGTAAACTCCACCCAGAAAGGCCCCTGAACTGGGGTTTGAACCAAGGACCTGCTCGCTGAGAGGCAGCAGCTCTACCAGTTGTGCCACCGTGCTGCCCGATCAAGGAAGTCGTCTGCAGCAAATTTGGACCCTATCACGCTGCTTGCCTTTATGATGGCTTGGTTCGTGTCTCGAGTACCCGGACTCAAATGCTTTGGGCAGAATGGATCAGATCTTGGGGATTTTACTCAGTCACGTTCCATCGGTGTGGCCATGTATTTTGGACATTTCGGAACTAGGTCGATCAACACAGACTCAAGGTAGATGTCATTAAGTTCTGCCTGTCGATGAAACCAGCTGAATAAACTTTGTGTCATCATTTCGGTACTCTTGGATTCTCATAGACGTTATTTTTGGCCATGCCTCGACATACCTAGAGAATGTTTATGAATCTCACCGGAGGACATTGGCTGATTATTCCATCCTTATCAGAACTCTTACAGTGACCTCGAGAGCATCTATGATCATGCTCACCGCTCTCACCTCCCCCCTCTACAGAATGTCTATGTCACTATGTGCTTGTTTGTGCAAGGTGTTGTTTTAACATTAGTTTTTTTTCCTCAGGCAGGAAAAAAAAGTCTGATAGGAATTTTTTCGCCTTCAACTCCTACATGTGTCCATTTGCCCAATTTTTTAGTCTGTCCAAACAGGTCTCACTTGTAAATGAGTCTTTTAGGCTCAATGTGATTTATCTGTTTAAATAAAGGTTGAATGAATGACTCACAGAGGAGCCTGTTGTCATGAATAAAGGTACAACTTTAAAAAAAAATGGATTTCAGCACTATCATTAATTTTATTATTACTTTTTTCATTAAAGGATTTTACTGTTAAGCACTTTCGTAACAGCTGCTGTTTTTAATGTGCTTTATAAATATAGTTGACTTTTGTGTCAACACTTAGTTTCAGCCTCTTCATCAGATTTCAGCGCTCACATTGTGTTGTGACAGAAAATGACATTTTGCCATGTCCTTCCGATTCTTCCTGTTCAGACTCAGGCTGGTAATTTCATATTTTAAAATAAAAACTGCGTTTTTTTTTGTTTTTTTTACTTCATTAGTCGCTGTCACGTCTTAAGCCCCGCCCACTTCTCCCGTACTTCCGCCTTGTAGATGGTACCTGAGCAGAGGAGGTGAAGCAGCTAGCTGAAGTGAAAAATTAATTTTCAAACGTTACAGGTGAGCAGAAACGATTTGACAGGTGTACTCTAACAGGTGAGTTGATTTACCATCCAATCTGATGCCTCGGCTCACTCTGACGTCAGTCTGAACTCTGAGACCTGCCGGAACCAGAACTCAAACTGTCGAAAGTCGTTTAATTTAATTTATTTAGAGGTCGGGATTGCAACATTTCCGGGTTTAATGTCGGTGACAGCATAGACATGATGTCTATGGGTGACAGCAGCCGCCGCGCTCATAGACATATATAAATACGTGTGTGGCCGCGATGCCCATAAACAGGAAGTGGTTCTTTTGGTTAGAGACCATAGGAGGAAATGGGTCCGAACCGACGGCTCGAACCGAAAGTGTTGCTGTTCTTGTGAATCTCTGATAACGTTTGTTTTGTTTTTATTGGGGAGCCATATCCACCTGGTTTTACTCTTTCGACAACTTTAATGCGGCCCGAACCGCAACGTGTACCTCAAAATCAAAACGACCATCACCACTCACTTTTATTGGCGTTTCGAGTTACCATGGCAACGCAATTTGTAAACAAAGACGCCATTTTTCCCATTCAAAAAGCCTGTAGATCTACAAGTATGCAGATAGCATGTAAACTTCGATGGTCTGTGTTAGCAACATATCTCATGTTGCATTTTTTTTAACTCGCATAAATCAGATGTGTCTCTAGAACTGATACTTTAAAAATAATTTCTAGAATTGCGCCGCTCAAGGTGGCTGCATGTTGGAGCAGCTCTGTTACTTTCATTCTGAGATTTTGCTTTTGGAAACTTTAATTCCTCTTTTTCTGGATGTAAATCGCGTTTTTTGGATGATTGTTTCCTCTGGTATCGGATGCTGTGCAGCTGGAAGGATTTTTACTGAAACTTTTTTAGTTTTGGACATTTGTTATGATGCGTAACCATGGCGACAAGGCTGTTTTCTACAACCAACAGCAGCTGATTAACATCTCAAAAGCACAAATAATATCTCAACTACAGCCCCAAATCTCAAACGAGTTGAAAGGATGTTCTGTGGACGCATTCTCATCTACCTGCCAGCTGTGCTCAAGTGCCTGACCACTGAGATCCTGGAACTAGCAGGAAACACGGCTCATGACTGTGGATGGACAGGATCGTCCCTTGGCACCTACAGTATGCTGTCTGCAGCGACGAGGAGCTCAGCAGACTGCTGGGAGGAGTGGCCATCGCTCTGGGAGGAGTTCTGCCTGCCATTCAGGCGGTCCTACAGCCCGGGGGAACCGAGAGGACAGCCGAGTCTGGGTGGACGGATCAGACGGCATCTGCAGCCATTTTCTTAGGATCCACTGTGGGATGGACCTTTACAAGAGATCCTTCCTGTCTACAGTCATCAGTATCTATAACATCTCTTAATGAAATGAGGATCACGAGTTACAACAACAAATAATTTCCCTTTGGGATTAATAAAGTATATTTGAATTTGAATTAGCCATTTTTGATTCAAGATGGCTGCCACAGCTACCTCAGCAAACACAAAATCGACTATAACTCAGTAATTCTTTGAGATATTGAGCTGAAATTTAGTGTGGTGGTAGCTGAGAGCGAGTCATTATAGGCTACAATGTAAATTTTAAAAATCCAAGATGGTCGCCTGAGCTAAAAATGCCCATTTAATATTGAATTCAAACAAAAAATTCAAGATGGCCACCAAAGCTACATTTAAATGGCTTTAACTCAGCTATTTTTAGAACTGAAATCACATACTGGATCCAAATCAAAAATGAAACTGCTTATAGTGATAGCTGAGAACGAACCCCAGCACATAGTACAGTTCTATCAAATCAAAATTTTAAATTGGCAGCAGCGTGGCAGTCCCCGTCAAAGTTTCTTCGGGAACTTTCACGTTTGTTTATTATTATTTATTTGTTTGCTGCTCAAAAACTGCTAATTGATCAGCTGATCCACCAGAAGTAGATCAAATAATCCCTAATTATATCTGAGTAAACCTCCCTGTTGGCTCACGTTTCTTCTTTTCAACAACTCATTTATATACAGGTTCTCTTTATAAGACTGAATAAACATGATTTATGTTGGGATGAATGTTGTCCCTTTAATTGTGAAATCGTATGAAATGCTGATCATTTTTACACGTTCATTTATATTAATTTTTTATTATAACAATTTTACTAACCTGTTGTTACAGGAGACAGTATCTTGTCATCAGAACCTCTTTTTTTAACAAGAGGAGATGACGGCTGCTAAGTTCATGGCAAAAACCAACGCAGTCATGTTCCTGTTTTTAGTCTTTTACATTGCTTTATAATATAGCTGTTTTTGTTTTGTTTTTATTTCATTTCTTCTATTTACTTTTCATTTTATAAGCTTTTTTTATATGACTGTCTATTGTTGTTTGTACTTCATCTGTGTTCTTTGTTTAAATCTTGTGCATGAGTCCTCATGTCTCAATGAGACTAACCTGTAGAAATAAAGGTTGAATGAAGAAAAAAAAACTTCTAAATCAGAGGTTCCCAGCTCTGGTCCTTGAGGAACTCCATCCTTCATGTTTTAGATGTTCCTCCGCTCCAGCTCACCTGAGTTGAGTGAATGAGGCTTCTGCAGAACTTGAGGAACTAATGAAATCAGTAAATCAGGTGCGTTGGAGCAGGAAACAAGGAAAACAAGCAGGATGGTTGTCCTCAAGAACCACTGTCCTACAGGTTTCAGCCAAGTTCTAAGGCTCTCTGTGTTTTTAGCAGGAAATATTAGTTTCTGTAGTTTTAATCAGCTCCACATTTTGCAGTCGACTGTCAGGATGAGCGTGAGGAAGGTGATTAAGACGGTTCTGAGTGTGGAGCAGACAGAGGGAGTCGGTGCTCGGGTCCGCAGGAGCATCGGTAGAATGGAGGTGAGAGCCTCAACAAAATATACAACCCATGCAAACTGTCGAAACGACTTCTTAAATGACTTGTTTGACTTCCAGCTGAGGAACTTGGACCCTTTCCTGATGCTGGATGAGTTTAAAGTGAGCAAGCCGGCAGGTTTTCCCGACCATCCTCACCGAGGGTTTGAGACGGTAAATGTTGATTGATCTACACTTTTTAAAGAATTTTAACATCTTCACTATAAAAAAGAAACATTGTGTTGATCTTAAGAGTTTGTTTTCAAACTGTTACTATTTTTAGGTTAATTAACTTTAACCGGAGCAATAATCAATCAGGTTTACAGATATTGAGTTAAAGTCTGGTGTGAGAGTAGCTGAGAGTCCTCCCCAACATGCACTCTAAGAGCCAACATGAAGCTAGCTATGCACACGCTAATTCAGACAACTAGCAAGTAGTTTTGGCATCTGACTCCTGCAGGCTTTTTGCTATTTTAACCAAAACTACATCAAAACATTCAGCTGATTCAGGAGTCGGGTGCCATGACTGCTGCATTTAATAACTTCTCAAAATATTTTACTTTATTTTCTAAAACATCCTGTTAAAGTACAAACGTATCACTTTTTAAATTTTCAATGTTCTTGTTCTCGTTAAATTCTACATCAGCAAACTTTGGCTAATGTTCCTAAAGCTAATCACTGTTATTGCTAATTCTGCTAATAGTTTTAGCAATGCTAATACTACTTTTGCTACTGCTATTGCTAGTTCTACCAATGCTAATGCTAATTTACTATTGATGATCACTACTTCGTGCTGCTGTTGTTTGGTGCATTGTTTTGTACTATTAGTGCTTAGTATATTCTTAGTTTAGCATATTTCTTAGTTCATATCTTAGATCTTACTACTGTTTTTTCTTTACATTTTGTATTTTTGTTGGATGTAACTGGGACCTTATGTACATAGTTTATTTCCACCTCATGTACCACATGTGATGTGAATGACAATAAAGACACTTTGACCTTGATTATGTAATGCTGCTAATGGTAATTTTACTAATGCCTGTTTTACTGAGATGCACTAGAAACATTCTGCTGAATTCAGTTAGCCCTTTGCTACTTTTAGATTGCCTTTGCATCTGTTAGCCTTTAGCTAGATTTTTGTTACTTCTAGATTTTTAGCTAGCATTTTGCTAGTCTTAGCTTTTGGTTAGCATTTTACTACTTTTGTATTTTAAGTATATTGGACTTTTTTTTTAAACGTTTAGCTCAGTTGCAGCTTCATCAAATTTCAGCAAAGTTGTTCAGAACTCAGCATTTACAAAGAGTGATTTATCTAGTTTCATTTTCCTCTGCGTTCTTTAAAAACATAATTATAGAAATCAAAAACATTTTTAGTTTCCCTTTTCAAACTTTGTTTTAGCTCTTGGATCAGAAAGTTATCATCCATAAAAACAATAAATGATAAAACTCAACAATGTCAAGAAATGCAGTCTTCTCATCAGTGTGAAACTCCCGCCTGCTGCCCTTGGGTTAAAATGAACAAGGCAATCTGAAGCAGCATGGGTCATTTTGACCCAAGGGCAGCAGGAGGGTTAAGGGTCCAAGTGTCCGGTGTAATTCTTGTTTTGTCCAGTCAAATTTACTTATAAAGCACATTTAAAAACAGCAGCTGTTACCAAAGGGCTTAACAATAAAAAGCAATAGCAGTAATTTAAAGAAACAAACAAAAAATAATTTAAAGCATTAAAAGAAAGACGTCAAATACAAAACAACAAAATGCTAAAACAAATCACACTGGGTCAAAAAGTCAGTGAAAACAGATGTGAGATTTAAAAACAGGAAGTGAAGCGGTCTGTCTAATGTTGGGGGACAGATTGTTCCAAAGTTTAGGGTCTGCGACTGAAAAAGCCTGATCTCCTCTGAGCTTCAACCTGCTTTTCGGTACTGCCAACAGCAGCTGGTCAGATGTTCTCAGGGCTCGAGAAAGAACATAAGGTTGAAGTAGGTCAGAGAGAGATGAGGATGCAAGGCCATTTAGGTATTTAAAGTTAAACAAGAGAATTTTAAAATCAATTCTGTTACATACAGGGAGCCAGTGAAGGAAGGATAAAACTGGTGAAATATGATCAAACCTACGAGTTCCTGTTAAGAGCTGAGCTGCAGCATTTTGGATGAGCTGGAAACGTGAAAGGGACACCTGACTGACCCCGACATAAAGCGCGTTACAATAATCAAGTCCAGTTATAATAAAGGCATGGACTATTTTTTCAAGGTCAGATCTGGTCAACACCGACTTAAGAAGCTTTTCTGCAGAACAGAGTTGATCTGTTTATTAAACTTAAAAGTAGAGTCTAAAACATACCGAGATTTGTGACTGACTGTTTAAGATATGGATGAAGGGAGTCAAGGTTTACAGGAACAAAGACAGAAGTAGAGCTAGGGCTAAACGCAATGACTTCAGTTTTCTGATTGCTAAAACTTAAACAATTTGAAGCCATCCATGCCTTAATGTCATCAAGACATTTTAACAGTGGGTGAATGGTGCAAGAACTATTAAGTTTTAAGGGCAGATAAATCTGACAATTATCAGCATAACAATGAAAAGAAAGACCATGTTTCCTCAAAATAGACCCCAAAGGGAGTAGATACAGTGAAAACAGAAGGGGTCTAAGAATCGAGTCCTGTAGAACTCCGCAGGAAAGAGGCGCTGAAGCAGATAATATATTACCAACCTTAACACAAAAGCTCCTGTCACTTAGATAAGAACGGAACAACTCTAATGCTGCACCTGTAATCCCAATCAGTGTTCTAATTGTGATCTAAGGATACTGTGGTCAACAGTAAAAGCAGCAGTAAGGTCCACGAGTACAAACTGACCCGAGTCATTTGCTAAAAGAATATCATTACAAACCTTTACTGTTTCAGTGCTGTGCAATTGTTTGAAATCAGACTAAAAGAGCTAAAAAAAATAAATAAATCCATTCTAATTCAAAATTTAATCGAGTAAAAGCTATTTTCTCCAAGGTTTTAGAAAGAAAGGGAAGTTTTGAGATTGGGCTGAAATTTGAACAAATTTGAAAAAGATTTTGCCACAAGATGGCGCTAAAGGACAGTTTATTCAGCAGCAGCTTCACTTCCGCCTGTTTTTACTCAACGTTGGACTTTTTAAAGAGTCAGACGTCAGTACACAGATGTTGCACATGTTGTTGTTGTCGTTGAAGTTTGCAACAGATTAAGCCTAGAAATGTGTAAAACACTAGAAATTTTTTAAATTCCATCCATCCATTATCTTTTACCCGCTTCTTCCATTTTGGGTCACGGGGTCGCCAGTGCCCATGTCCATCAATCACTGTGCGAGGGGCGGGGGACACCCTGGTCAGGTCTCCAGTCCATCACAGGGACACATAGAGACAAACGAAACAAACAACCATTCACTCTCTCACTCACACCTAGAGACAATTTAGAGTTACCAATCAACCTAACATATTGAAATGGAAAAGTTGCCCTGCTTATTTATTCCTAAGAACATTTTTACAGAATAAAACTTGTTTATGAAGTGTTTTTTATTAAAATCTTTAAAAATGTTGACATGTGGTGCGTTTCTGTTTGCAAACTCATTTGGTTAATAAACCATGTGGCATCAGAGTGGAGATCATAGTTATTCATTTGTTTTGTATTCGTCTGTGATTCAAACTTTACTGTTGGATTACCGGATGTTTCTCCGGGTGTTTGGTGGAGCAGATGTAGAGCAGGCCTCCTGCTGTGGACGGACTGGGCGAGGCTTCTTTCCCAGCATGCCTTTCAGCGAGCGTGTTTGTTGTTGAACCCACACAGCCGTGGAGATCCGTCCCATGCGGTTGACCTCGGCTCCCCTCCCTCACGCAGATGTTCACCTTTAACCTTTGACCCCCGCTCTGTCTGACGGCCGCAGCAGTGGACTGATGTGAAATGAAGAAGCTCCTTGGTGTAAATCCATGATCTGAAACAATGAAGCCAGCTGCAGAATTCATCCCAGAGGCTAAAATCTTACTTTATCGAGTTTTTATCAACTTTCTCCAAAAACAGCTCTCAAAGGCTGTGAATTCATGTTGAAAATGTTTAAAAAAATGTTTGAATCTCACACGAGTCGCACGTTGTTTCAGATGGGTTCAGGGCATGTCTATGTGTTTCAGGTCACGTATGTTTTAGCCGGAGTCTCGGCTCACGAGGACTTCTGCGGCCACTCGGGACGACTGCAGCCGGGAGATCTGCAGGTACGATGCAGCTGTTTCACTTCTCCTCGCTAAGTGTCAGAGGAAAAGATTCCTGTTTGTTCAAAAACAAACTGACCCGACTTCAATATGGCCGTGCAGTTTGTTTATAAATGTATATAAATATACTTGACACAAACATCGTCTCAGGGCACAAAAACATTCACACACACAAAATAACACGTAGTAAAAGTTGTCTAAGGAAATGTCTTCACGTTGTCTCAACCTCCCGTCCTGAGCAGCACATTGGAGACAGTGGGAAGAAATGACTCCCTTCCAACAGGAAGAAACCTCCACCAGAACCAGGCTTAGGATGGACAGCCATCTTGACTACATGGAGTTGGAGAGAACAGGAAAGAGACAGAGACAAACACAGAATGACTGGTCCGGGTGTGGTCTCTGTGCAGTCTGGGTGTGGTCTCTGGGTGGTCCTGTTGCTGCTGATGGGAAGAAAAACGTTAATGTAAATAATTACAAACATAAACACTAGAGTGAGGAAATGTGATTACTTTGTCCTCCTGAAGTCTTAAGCCTATAGCAGCATAACTAATTAGGGATAGCTCAGGAAATCAAGTCAACCCTAACTATAGGATTTACCAAAAAGGAAAGACTTAAACCCAATCTTAAAAGTAGACAATGTGTCAGCCTCACAGATAAAAGCTGGGAGTTGGTTCTACAAGAGAGGAGCCTGATAACTGAAAGTTCTGCCTTCCATTCTACTTCTGGGAGTTCTAGGAACCACAAGTAAACCTGCAGTCTGAGAGCGAAGTGCTCCGTTAGGAAAAAATGGAACAATAAGATCTTTAATATAAGATGGAGCTAGGTTGTTGAGAGCTTTGTAGGTTAGAAGTAAGATTTTGAATTCAATTCTGGACTTGACAGGGAACCAGTGGAGAGAAGCTAAAACTGGAGAGAGATGATCTCTCCCACTAACTCCAGTTAAGACTCTGGCAACAACATTTTGGATCAGCTGAAGACTTTTTAAAGAAGTATTTGGACACTCAGATAATAAACCATTGCAATAGTCCAGTTTAGACGTAACAAATGCATGAACCAGTTTTTCTGCATCATTTTTAGATAAGATGTTTCTAATTTGAGTGATATTACGCAGGTGGAAGATAGCGCTCACACACACAGCCTGAGGTCCATCATGCAGCAGAGGTTCAGTCAGTTCAGCTGATTTGTCCTCATGTGCCCCCTCCCCCTCTGTGGACGAGAACCTCTTGTGGGAGCTGCAGATGCTCCGTCGCCTGCCCTGTCTTTCCTTGTTCGGGGCAAATTGTTTCAAAAACCAGCAGGTTTCATTAAAGGAGGTGTTTGAGGATCACTTGAACACAAAACCTCAATCATCTGCTTCTAAATGTCGTCAAATTTGAAACCAGACAAAGTGGAACTTCAACACTCTGAAACAATATTTAAAAATGAAGGTCCTGAACAGACTCTGAGCTCTGACAGACAACATCAGATTTTGTTTAAAACTGTGACGTGTGAGGAGGCGGGTAATTTGCATTCCTCCAATGAAGAAGACTACTTTTTATTTCAAGTTATATGTTTTATTTATAATTACAAAGATTACAAAATCCCTCCCACCCCCATCAGCTTTGATAAACGTGTTTTATCATCTCCAGTGGATGACTGCAGGCCGGGGGGTGGTCCACGCTGAGATGCCCGTGTCAGACGAGCCCGTGCAGGGTCTGCAGCTGTGGGTGAACCTGAGGAGAGCGGAGAAGATGGTTGAACCGGCGTACCAGGAGCTGAAAGGATCCGAGATCCCCAAACCGAGCCGGGGAGGAGTTACAGCTGCCGTGATTTCTGGAGAAGCTCTGGGAGCAAAGGTCTTCACGGGGAAGGGTCTTTGTAAAAATCTGTATTTAGATGATGTCTGTGTTTCACGGCCCTCCTCTTTGGCAGTCTAAGGTCTACACGAGGACACCAACCCTGTACCTGGACTTCAAGATGCAGGCAGGATCTGTGCACGAGCAGCCGGTCCCTTCAGGTAGGAGGTCACATTTCAACACGTTCAGATCCATGAACTGGATGTGAAGAGCAACACATAACAGCTCATGTTCTTTTTTTTTTTTCTTGTTACAGTTCTGTAACAAAGTATTTAAACATCTGAACATACAGTATTGTATCTCTAACACATTTAGTTGTGACTGTTTTTCATTCTTCCGCTGGCAGCAGTTCACGGGTCCTTTGGACGTAAACGTGAATACAGAGCCTCGTAGATTCTGATAAGACATTTCAAATCTAAATACCACGATGTCAAAATGGCGGTGTAGGCCCTTATCCTTTGATTGGCACATTTTGACCAACCGGGTCGATCTTTGTTCTCTCCAGAGCCGATAATATCCACTGAGCATCATGTCGTCTAAACAGAGACATGAACTCTTCTACATACACCTCCGACCCGTCGGCTCTGATGTGGTTCTGATTGACGTACAGGCAGTCAAAGTCTCGTCACAGCGATATGTGGCCTAACCCAGTGAATTTTAAAGTAGAGGAACTTCGAAGAAAGGTCATGTGACACATGTGTGCGAGGGAGTAGGCGGGGCTTACTGTCCCAAATACCATCTGCACAGACTCTGGTTCCAAAAATACAGCATGGCAGTTTCCGTCTGTCTGTTTCAGCTGACAGATAATTTCTTTCAGGTTTAAAGAGAGGAACATTTTCATCCTGACTCAGAAATAACTTTCTTTGTCTGACAGGATGGACGGCCTTCATCTACACTCTCTCTGGAAGCATCCATGCTGGTGAGTTTTGTTCTTCCAACAGTTTTTATTCTCCCGGAGAAGACGCATTCTGATGTAACTGCCAAACTTAAACGTTCCCTTGTCCCGTCCATAACTTCTGATCTACTCGAGATAATTTAATGAAGCTTCATACATATGCATCATCACTAGACGGAATGCTGCATGCACTGTTCATCACCCCAGCTTCAAAATCAAGGTCAAAGGTTGTGCAAGGTTTTTGATTTTCAGGGCTATTGCTGTAGACTTTGTATTCAGGCCTTCTGTTATAAAAGGACAGGAAGTGGAGCAGTTGACTGGATTTAAATACCTTGGAACAATAACTGACAACAAGTTGACCTTTCAGTCCGACACTGACTGGATTTACAAAAAAGCCAGAGAGCGTCTCCTCCTTCTATATAAGCTAAGGAGCTTTAAAACAAGCAAACACTGTACAAATGGTGTACAGGCCACTGGTTGAAAGTGTTGCTTCCTTTAAAATTGTCTCAGAGACAGGAACAAGTTGTCCCGAGTGGTCAAACGAGGTAGTAAAATCATTGGTCGTCAACAAATGCAAGACGTGTACAGTCAGGTTCTGGGGAAAAAGGCAATACAGGACCCAACTCATCCACTGCAACCATTATTCAGGTTGGTACCATCTGGCAGAAGACTGGTGGTTCCTCTGGTAAGGAAAAATGGGTACAAAAAGTAATTTGTTCCCTCTGCTGTGAGTGTCCTTAATAAGATCCTATTTAGGCAGCAAGGGGCAGCACAACGGCTCAGTGGTTAGCACTGTTGCCTCACAGCAAGAAGGTCCTGGGTTCAATCGCCAGTTGGACCTGGGGTCCTTCTGTGTAGAGTTTGCATGTTCTTCTCGTGCTTGCGTGTATTTTCTCCAGGTACTCCGGTTTCCTCTCACAGACACACCTGCATGTTAGGCTTCAGGCCTCCCTTGCATAAGAGATCTGTGATCTCAATGGGATTTGCCTGGTTAAATAAAATAAATTAAACGTAGCCTCACATGACAACATTATCTGCTGAGATGTTTTTAATGCATCGTGCATTTTAGCAAGTTTTGATTGGGTTAGCTAAGCTTTTTAAAGCTTTATGGTATTTTTAACTTGAGTTGTTTTGTATACATGAGCCAGATGTCAAAGTCAGGTCTCCATCTCATGGAGTGTTATGCACAATAGTTATATTGATAGATTAGTTTGTCGACGGGCGTATAATACGCGGTTTGCAGTCGTCTCGTTGGCCGTCAGTGTTCTTCTTCTCTGCTGTCATCTCAACATCATGACGTTTGCATGACTTTCAGCCAATCACAGCTTTCCTGTCCGCTTTCAGCCACTTTAAAGTCAGATATCGGTCAAACTGAGAGTTATCACATCTGATTATAAAACTGTTTCAGCCTGACTTCATGCTGCCTGATGTTAAAACATTTATTTTTTTGTAGTTTTCCTTCAGAGTTTCCCCTTTTTGACAAATCCTTCAGTGAAATCATGTTTATTTTGACTCCAGAGTCATCAGGTTTAATCATCACCAGATGTTTCAACAACACTGAAACTGAAGTCCTTATGTGTACCGGGTCAAACCAGGACCTCCTGTCTTCAACATCACAATTGGCTGTTTTTAGAAGCAGGTTTTCGATGCAAACCAACAAAACGAAACAGTATTGGCTCTTTGACAGAACTCGTTTTTTTTTTTTTTTCCTCAGAATAAACAGTAAAACTTGTTTTGGGAGATAATAATTAGGATTGGGCTTCTTTAAGAAGCACGTTAATATTACTGCGTGCATGTATAGCAGCTGTTGAAGTTTACCTGAGGGTATCCTGAGTTTTCTAAGCAGCCATGATGAGACTGAGGAGAATGAGGAAGAAGCTGAGTTTGTTTTTGTCTTCAGGTCCAGCTCAGCAGCAGCAGCAGGTGGAGCCTCATCACACCGTGGTGTTTGGAGACGGAGACTGCGTTCGCTTCCAAAACCAGGTGACGAACTTCACCTGGTGTCTGTAGGTGTCGTCTGAAGCTCGCCTGTGCTTCAACTTGTCCGCGATGGACTCTTAATTCAAGAACTCAACTGTGAACGAGAAGTTTGGTCTAAACTAAAAAAATAAAACTGTAAAAAGTAGATTAACATTCTGCTTTTATAGACCTTGCCTCAAACTGAAGAGTTCATGGATCTGAGAGGCTCCATCAGTCAGTCCTTCAGTCAGTCAGTCTGTGTCAGTCAGTCCTTCAGT